CTTCCCCCTCTCCCTCTCTATTTTCCCAATTTTTCCCAATATACATGTAAAAACACAAAAAAAAATCAACGTAATAAATCATGATCCATAACCTTAATCACTCGCCAATCAGATCTTCGCTCTTCGCAATGGCTTCCTCAGTCCTTGAAAACAATGCGTCATAGGTTTTCTTCCTCATTTCGCGGAAGAAATATTATGCTGCTTGGGCGGGCCGGGGTCCAAGCTGTCGGGGATTTTGATGGATTGTCTGAGCTAGCTTCACGTTCGTCATGTGTTATACAAACAAGAGATTAAAGGAATGCATGTTTATATACATACGTACGTACGTCCAGACAGACAGACAGACACACACACAGACACACAGACCGCACGCACGCACGCACACGCACACGCACACGCACACGCAACACGCACACGCACACGCACCGCACACGCACACGCACACGCACACGCACACACACACACACACACACAACACACACACACACACACACACACACACACACACACACACACACAACACACACACACACACACCACACACACACACACACACACACACACACATGAATTGATGAATTGACTAAGTTGGCTTTAGGTCTTTCATGCATTATACATATATACGAGATTAAAGGAATACATGTTTACATACATATGTACGTACATCTAGAACATAATTATGTGCAGTACATCCATATTTAAATACATATGCACATAGATGCGTAAAACATGTGCAATATATTATTCTTATGTACATACATATGTAATCACATACATATATATGTACATGCATACAAGCATGCATATGTACGCACATATATACAGACATATAAACAGCTACCTACTAGTGTGCGTGTGTGTGTGTGCGTGTGTGTGTGCGTGTGCGTGTGCGTGTGCGTGTGCGTGGGCGTGTGCGTGTGTGTGTGTGTGTGTGTGTGTGTGTGTGTATGTATGTATGTATGTATGTATGTATGTATGTATGTGGGGGAGGGCGAATGTACTTGTCCAATGGTCTTTAAATTTGAAATATGATCACTTACGATAATTCAGTTATTTAACGACACACAAATTAACATAACGCAGAAATACACAAAATAAATACGCAAACACATACATACGGTTTACATAAACAACAGAATCTCTTACAAAAAAAAAAAAAAAAAAAAAAAAAACGAATATCTCTTTTTTTCTTTTTCTTTTTTTCAATGATGTTCGTCTTATTGTGTTTTGAGTTGCTTGACCTATTGATATGATCTGCGGCGTTTTGTTTTTCTAATCAAGTGTTCAGTCATTGGCAATAAGTTCAAGGAATTCCTTTACTTTGAAATTCAGCTGTTTGTCCATTTATTAATACATTTATTTGTTAATCTATCTATCTAGTCCTTTAATCATCCACCAGTCCATTTGTTTATCCATCTATCCATCCATACTTCTATCTCTCCATCCATCTATCTGTCTATATATCCATCCATCCATCTATATCCATCCATCCATCTATTATACATCCATCCATCCATGCTATATATCCATCCATCCATCATATATCCATCCATCCTATCTATACATCCATCCATCATCTATATATCCATCCATCCCATCTATATATCCATCATCCACCTATCTATATATCCATCCATCCATCTATCTATACATCCATCCATCCATCTATATATCCATCCATCCATCTATCCATCCATCCATCCATCTATATATCCATCCATCCTATCTATATATCCATCCATGCCATATCTATATACCCATCCACCATCTATCCATCCCCTCCATCCAACCATCCCTCCACCCACTCCACCCACTCCACCCACACCCACCTCTCCCCTTGTCATCCTTCTCCCTCTCCTTCCCGCCGACAGCATGGGCGTGGACCTTGACGTGGCGGTGGAGAAGCTAGCCGTGTTGGGGCGTGTGATGGTGACGGCGACGCTGGACATGGAGGCGCCCTTCCCCCATCTCACCCGCTTGTCCTTGTCCTTCACCGAGAAGCCCCAAGTGTGGTTCAGTGTCCGGATCCTCAAGGTGGTCCCGGGCTTGGTTTGTTTTTTTGTTTCGTGGTTTTGGTTCCTCTGTGTGGATGGTTCTTTGTCTGTTTGGTTCACTCTCTTTCTCTTTTCTTTCTTTCTTTCTTTCTTTCTTTCGTTCTTTCTTTCTTTCTTCTCTCTTCCCTCTTTCTCTCTCTCTCTCTCTCCCTCTCTCCCCTCTCTCCTCTCTCCCTCTCTCTCTCTCTCTCTCTCTCTCTCTCTCTCTCTCTTCTCTCTCTCTCTCTCCCTCTCTCCTCCTCCCTCTCCTCTCCCTCTCCCTCTCCCCTTCTCCCCTCTCCCTCTCCCTCTCCCTCTCCCCCTCCCTCTCCCTCTCCCTCCCTCCCTCCCTCCTCCTCCCTCTCTCTCTCTCCTCTCTCTCTCTCTCTCTCTCTCTCTCTCTCTCTCTCTCTCTCTCCTCTCTCTCCTTTGGTGTGTTTTGTGTGTATTTTTCTTTGTTGTCCTCTCTGTCCTCCGTTTTCTATTCTCTCACCGCTCTTTCTAGACATATTGACACAGTTTCCCTCCTTCTGTCTATCTATATATCTATCTACCTCTCAGCCAGTTTGTCTGTCTGGCTGATGCAATGTACACTACAACTCTCCTTAATGGACTTTGGTTCGTCTCTTTATTTTTATGCTTTCACAACAGATTTTAAAAAAAGGAGAGAGAAGCGGCTCTTGTTTTTCCTCTGAAAGCAGCAACGATAGAAACCTTTCCAATTTTTACAAAGAGAGCTAGCAGCCGCTTACGTTTCACATCTATTAATAATAATAAAAAAAAATCCTGCCATTCTCACAGGCTTTGCAAAATAAATCCTCCCCTTCTCCCGCAAATTAAATCTCCCTCTCCCGTGCAAGTAACCCGGATAACATCCGATAGAAGCATGGAAAAGCCTTGGGGAGGCTGCTGTAGATGTTTTGCGGGATCTTTTAAATGAAATATATATGAGCAAGAGAAAATTCCATCTCCCGTGCAAGTAACCCCTCCTTCCCCTTCTCCCGTGCCAAGTAACCCCTCCTTCTCCTTCCCCTTCTCCCGTGCAAATAAATCCTCCCCTTCTCCCGTGCAAATAACCCCTCCCCTTCTCCCGTGCAAGTAAGGTGCAAGTAACCCTCCCTTCTTGTGCAACCCCTCCCCTTTTCCCGTGCTTCTCCCAGGCTGTGCAAATGATGGAGGTTCCTGTGCTGAAGACGTGGCTGCACTCGCTCGTGATGGACGCCTTGGCCTCCGCCTGGGTCGACCCGGGTCAGCTGGAGATCAACATCCACTCGACCGAAGCCTTCGTCCCCGAGCAGCGAACTGGGGACGCCCTCGCTCAGGGTGTCCTCACCGTTATACTGTGGACGCAGAAGGGGTCGTCAGGTAGGCGAGAAGGTCCGCTGATTCTTAGGGGGTCAAAGGTCATGAGGGGCGGGTTATAGAATCTGTTCGTGGCTCTGTGGGGGGCTATATTATTATTAAGAGGAGGGGGGTTTCGGTCAAAGGTCAAGAGACGGGTTAGAATCTCTGCTCGTGCATTGTGGGGGCTTTATTATTATATTAAGAGGAAGGGGGTATCGGTCAAAGGTCAAGAGGGACGGGTTAGAATCTCTGCTTGTGACATTGTGAGGGCTTTATTATTATTATTAAGAGGAAGGGGTATTGGTCAAAGGTCAAGAGGGACGGGTTAGAATCTCTGCTTGTGACATTGTGAGGGCTTATTATTATTATTAGAGGAAGGGGGTATCGGTCAAAGCGTTCAAAGAGGACGGGTTAGAGATCTCTGCTTGTGACATTTGTGAGGGCTTTTTATTATTATTAAGAGGAATGGGGGTATCGGTCAAAGGTCAAGAGGGACGGGTTAGAAGTCTCTGCTCTGTGACATTGTGAGGCTTTATTATTATTATTAAGAGAAAGGGGGTATCGGATCAAAAGGTCCAAGAGGCGACGGTTAGATATCTCTGCTTCGTGCATTGTGGGGCTTTATTATTATTAAGAGGAGGGGGTTTCGCGTCAAGGTCAAGAGGACGGGTTAGAATCTCTGGCTTGCTTGTGGGGCTTTATATTATTAAGAGGAGGGGGGGTTTCGGTCAAAAGGTCAAGAGGGACGGGGTTAGAATCTTGTTCGTTTGTGGGGCTTTATTATTATTAAGAGGAGGGGGCTTCGCGGTCAAAGGTCAAGAGGGACGGGTAGAATCTGTGGACGTGACCAATTGTAGGGCTGCGCTTTATTATTATCTAAGAGGAGGGGCTTCGGTCAAAGGGCAAGAGGACGGGTTAGAATTCTGGCTTTGGGGGCTTATTATTATTAAGAGGGCAGGGGGCTTCGGTCAAGGTCAAGAGGGACGGGCTTTATAGAAGTCTGTTCGTGGCCTCTGTGGGGCGTTTATTATATTAGCAGGAGGGCGGGTTTCGGCTCAAAGGGTCCAAGAGGGACGCGCCGTTATAGAATCTGTTCGTGGCTCTTGTGGGCCGGCTTTATTATTATTAAGAGGAGGGGGCTTCGGTTCAAGTCATGAGGACGGCGTAGAACTCTGCTCGGCACTGGGGCTGATTATTATTAGCAGCAGGCGCGTTTCGCAAAGTCAAGGAGCGACGGTAGAATCTCTGCTCGTGCACTTGGGCCTTTATTATATTAAGAGGAGGGGGTTTCGGTCAAATTCAAGAGCACGGGTTAGAATCTCTGCTCGTGGCACTTGGGGGCGATTATTATAAGAGGAAGCGGCGGGTTTCGGTCAAAGTCAAGAAGGACGCGGTTAGAATCCTGCTTCGTGCACTGTGGGGGCTTATTTATTATTAAGAGGAGCGGTTTCGTAACAAAGCGTCAGAGGACGTGGTGTGGTATAGAAGCTGTTCTGTGCTCGTGGGGCGTGCTATAGATATTAAGAGGACGGGGTGGGTTCGTCAAAGGTCAGAGGACGGGTTAGAAATCTCTGTTCGTGGCCCTCTTGGGGGAGGCTATATATTATTAAGAGGAGGGCGGTTCGGTCAAAGGTCCAAGAGGACGGTTAGCAAGCTTAACTGTTCGTGGCTCTGTGGGGGCAATTATTATCAAGGAGGAGGGGGGTAATCCGGTCAGAAGGTCTAAGAGGACGCGTGTTATAGAATCTGTCGTGGCTGCTGTGGGGGCTTTATAATTCATAAGAGCAGGGGCTTTCGTCAAAGGTCAAAGAGGACGGTTATAGAATCTGTTCGTGGCTCTGTGCGGGGCTTATTATTATTAAGAGGAGGTTTCGGTCAAAGGTCAGAGAGGACGGGTTATAGAATCCTGTTCGTGGCATTGTGGGGGCTTTATTATTATTAAGAGAGGGGGGTTCGGTCAAAGGTCAAGAGGGACGGGTTATAGAATCTGTTCGTGGCTCTGTGGGGGCTTTATTATTATTAGAGGAGGGGGTTCGGTCAAAGGTCAAGAGGGACGGGTTATAGAATCTGTTCGTGGCATTGTGGGGGCTTTATTATTATTAAGAGGAGGGAGGCTTCGGTCAAAGGTCAAGAGGGACGGGTTAGAATCTGTGGCTTTGTGGGGGACTTTATTATCACTCGATAATTGAGAGGAGGGGGGGTTTTCGAGAGGGACTTGCGGCTTATGGCGAGAGAAAGGGGTGGACGCTGACGAGCGATGGATACTGGGAATCGGCGGGGTGTTGCTGGGGATCAACCAGGTCATCCATGGGAGATTGGTGTCGGTGGGTCATGGAGGGGAGGAAGAGGAAGAAGAAGAGGAGGAGGAGGAGGAGGAGGAGGAGGAGGAGAGGAGGAAGAGAAGAGGAAGAGGAAGAGGAGGAAGAGGAAGAGGAAGAGGAAGAGGAAGAGGAAGAGGAAGAGGAAGAGGAAGAGGAAGAGGAAGAGGAAGAGGAAGAGGAAGAGGAAGAGGAAGAGGAAGAGGAAGAAGAAGAAGAAGAAGAAGAAGAAGAAGAAGAAGAAGAGGAAGAAGAAGGAAGAAGAAGAAGAAGGAGAAGAGAAAGAAGAAGAAGAGAAGAAGAAGAAGAAGAAGAGGAAGAAGAAGAAGAAGAAGAAAGAAGGAGGAAGAGGAGAAGGAGGACGACATGAACCAGATTATGATGCATGGGAGGGAGTTATTCATCGGCTGTTCATAATTCATTAGGAGATGGACACGCAGCGAATGTTAATGAGACAGAAACTGGATGTTCGTTTACGTGTATGAAGATGAATTGTTGGACTGACTGGCTGACTGACTGGCTGGCTGGCTGACTGATGGGCTGGTTGGCTGACTGACTGACTGGTTGGCTGACTGAGTGGCTGATTGACTGACTGACTGACTGGTTGGCTGACTGATGGGCTGGTTGGCTGACTGACTGACTGGTTGGCTGACTGACTGACTGGTTGACTGACTGACTGACTGCTGACTGACTGACTGAGTGGCTGATTGACTGACTGGCTGATTGACTGACAGACTGACTGACTGGTTGGCTGGCTGACTGACTGACAGACTGGTTGGCTGGCTGACTGACTGACTGACTGACTGACTGACTGACGGACGGACGGACGACTGACAGACAGATAGACAGTGATAGATATGCAAATAAGAAGATAGATATAAGTAAAAAGACAGGCACATTTAGATAGATATATAAGAAAAATAGATAGAGGTGTAGATATGTGATAGATATAGATATAGATAGAAATATAGATATAGGGACTTACATGTGCAAGAGAATACGATTTTTTTTTACATTGCACGAGGTGAGATGCGACCAAAAAGACCCAAAATCCTATGTCAAATACTTGTTGTTCCGTCCTTAGACACGTGTGTGGGTGAAGGATCATATTCATTGATAAATTGTTAGAAGAAATTTATTCATTTATTTATTTTAGTTTTGTTTCTGTGTTTTGGTGGTGTCTGTTCTAGGGAGAATTTACCCTCAGATGGCCCAGGCAGATCGTATGCATTTATGATTATAATTGTTCTGTTTTTTATTCCCAGTTGAATCATATGATTATAAATAGGCATATTCGTATTTTTCTTGGTCTTCTCTTCGTTGTTCTACTCGCAATTTATGCGATATGAATCTCTACAGAATAAGTACTAATATGGGAACCTCTCTCTCTCTCTCTCTCTCTCTCGCTCTCGCTCTCGCTCTCGCTCTCTCTCTCTCTCTCTCTCTCTCTCCTCTCTCTCTCTCCTCTCTCTCTCTCTCTCTCTCTCTCTCTCTCTCTCTCTTCCTCTCTCTCTCTCTCCTCTCTCCCTCCTCTCCCTCTCTCCTTCTCTCCTTCTCTCCTTCTCTCCCTCTCTCTCCCTTCTCCCCCCCCCCCATTCAGGCCTGGCCGTGGACGAGGACAAGTGGGTGGTGGTCCTGATCGGCGGGCAGCAGCACGTGACGCCCCCGCTGAACACCCCGCGCTGGCAGGAGGCGTGTAGCTTCCTGGTGGATTCGTCCCTCAACAACCACAACCTCGTGCTCAAGGTCAAGAGTAAACGGCTTATTACAACAACCATAACGCAGTTCGACCTCCCGCTTAGTCAGTACAGCTTGGACACAAGTAGAGTGTGAGTACTAACATGTATCGCCTTCTCACAAGACTAAACTTGACTGTAGATCTTTGTTTAGACGTGTAGCTCTTAATTCTACGGGTTCTGTTGGTCGTCTGCCTTCCCCTCGTGGCGTAGGAATGGGTCCTAATCGCGGAGTAGGAATGGGTCCTAATCGCGGAGTAGGAATGGGTCCTAATCGCGGAGATTAGGGACCTAACTATTCCTAGCACACACACAGGGAGGTGGCGGCCCATAGGACTTGTAGGTCGAGGCTGTACACCTTAATTATTCATTCCTTGTTTCAACCTTCTCTCCTAGATGCCAGACCTAGATGCTCTTTGTTTGTACTTTGTATCTTTGAGTTCCGTTTTGTTTTCATGTTGTATTTTTGAGTTGCATTTTGTTTTCATTTTGTATATTTGCGTTGCATTTTATTTTCAGTGTGTATGTATTTTATTATTTTCGTAGTTTTTTTTTATCTGAAAGGAATGGTTTGTGGCAAAGCTAAAGGAGACATAATGATAAATAATTATAAACCGCAGATATATTCCCCAACCTTATAAAAATTACATCTCAAGCTCACTAACGCCAGTAAACTTTCCTGATGACAGATGCAGGTCCTTGATCTTAATTGTCTCACTAACTTCATTCCTAACATTTTTTCCTCCAAACTACTGTTTAATTTCATTTTCTTTAACTTCTTTAATTTATTTTTTGGTTAAGGAGAAAGAGGACTATTTTGTCTTTTCATCGTATATACTATTGGTGCTTGTCATTGATTACTCCCGGGCGAGAACTTCCCACGTCACATTACGTCAATCTACAGCTTATGACGTCATCTCGTGGCATTTTACGTTGAGCTCCTGTAGTTAACGTCATCGTACTTCAGCTTACGTCATGAATGTCAGTGTTATATTTTTTTACGCTATTCTACATCTCCCTTCGTTATTTTGCGTTGCTTTACGTCACCCTGCAGCATGTTACGTCCTCTTACGTCACACTACGTCACAGTACGGCATACTATGTCACTTCTACGTCACCATTAGTCAACGTACCCCGTCCATTAGTCCGACTTCGCTAATGGTAAGACCGCCTCTGATACATACACATTCGCTCATATGATTAAAATGTTGGTGTATCTTGCATACTTGATAATTGCACTTTCACAAAGCTCATTTAAACTTTAGTAATAGGAAAGACACAGCGGTTTCACATTACGAATATTATGCAGGAATTGTTTTTTTTTAATACTTGTTTTACCTTTCTATTCCTTTTTTTATTAATTTTTATCTTTAAGTATTATATGTATCGATTACGTATTCTCCATCACACGATATTCTCAACGTTATTTTAGAAGAAGAAAAATCTGAATATTTCCACGAGAATATGTGTGTATTTTATTCTCAACGTTATTTTGAATATTTGTGTATTTTATTTCATTTTATCTCATCCCAGAAGATTTTTTTGAACGTTCCCTGAAGAATACATTAAATTGGAGGAAAATTTACCAATGGAAAATGAACATCGACGGAATATATATTCTGAGGAAGGTTTTTTTGGCTTGTGATTCCTGCTGAAATTGTGATGACCAAGATAATATTGAGAGTGATATATATATATATATATATATATATTATATAATATATATATATATATATATATATATATAATCATCACTAAATATTCTCTTGAGTGATGATTATAAGCACGACTTGAAAAGGATGGTGATTGTGTCAGTGAAAGGACATTTATCGATGATGAAAATAATGATGGTAGTGATGGTGATGACATATGATGATGATTATGATAATGATGATTGTTATTGTTGTTATCATTATTTTATTATTATTGTTGTTGCTGTTATCATCATCATCATTATCAATAACAATACTATTATCAGTAATATCATCATCTTTATTACCATAACCATTTCAGAAATAATCGCGAGGAATGCGATAATAGGAAGAATAGTAGATGATAAGATATATAATAAGAAGGATAGGATAGTAGATAAGAAGAATAGTAGATAAGAAGAACGGTAGATAATTAGAAGAATAGTAGAAAATTAGAAGAACAGTAGATGATAAGAAGAATAGTAGATAAGAAGAAGAATAGTAGATAAGAAGAACAGTAGATAATAATAATAAGTAGATAAGAAGAATAGTAGATAATAATAAGAATTGTATATAATAAGAAGAATAGCAGATAATACGAAGAATAGCAGATAATAATAAGAATAGTAAATAATAAGAAGAACAGTAGATAACAATAAGAAAAACAGAAGACAATAAGAATAGCAGATAATAATCATTACCACGGAACCGTCTAATCTGGATCCGGCCCAGATTAGGCGCCCAGTCCCTGCAGCGGAGGAAAGGGGATTCGCGCTGACTGGGTGCGGGCGGCGTGCAGGATGCTCCCTTTCCCTTTAGTCAGCTCTGCAACATTGCAACGAATACGAGGCTCGTGTGGTATGAACCGAACGGACGGG